TATATATATATATATATATATATATATATATATATATATATAGTGGATGGTTCAATTAAAAAGTAGTCTTCCCATGAATAGTGAGAACAAATTTTGACCTTCCATCACTTGAAAATGGATGGATTAGATGGACTTTAAACACAAGAGATGATTTACAAAATGTGCAAACGTTTAAACTATAAAGTGGATAGTTACTGATTAAAGGTGCACTCATGCGTGTCAAAAAAGATTGTTAAATTTTTTCAGCTTGTGCACTTTTTATTTTGTACCGAATTGCACTTTTGTGCTCTACATGTGCACTTTTTGACTATTCAAATGCACATTTGTCACAATATTTTCAATAAAAGTTCTCCATAATTACAACTATGTCACTGCGTTTCCTACCTCAAAATTGATCTTTTCCATCCATTTCTTCACATCAATGGCCAAGATTAGTTCTTATTTTTCACCTAGAAAGCACTTTTTATTTGATCCATACCTTTATCAACATCAATAAACATAAATAAACAATAACCAATAAAATCTTAAAAGTTATCAACAAAAAGCCAACAAATCTATTTCATGCAATAATAAGAAGTAATAAATAATCGTTATTAGAACAATAAAAATCAAAGTAAATTATCTGTTTTATATTTTATTTTTGTAATGATATTTGAAAAATGAACTTTACTTTTTTATTATTTGGCATATTAAAGCTATGTGATTTTTAAATTTTTACTTGTTAGTTGTTACCGAAAATATATATAATTATGATTTTGGAAGCTGTATATTTATTTTGTGTGCCCTATTTAGTGATTTTTTATATTTGATGTGAAAGATACTCATCACTTCTACTAGGGGTTTTGTCATGAATATTAGTAAAAAGTAGATGATTGACAAAAAAGAGACCTTTTTTCCTAATTTCCAATCATGGGACTAATAAACACCAACTTGTCTAAACTACCCTTCCTAAATGTTCAAATCTGCATACGCATTACTTTGCTCCGTAAGATTATCCGAATTATTTATGTTCAAAACTGCATACGCATTACTTTGCTCCGTAACAATGCAAGATTATCCGAATTATTTTACTCCGTAACAGTCCCAGGCTACCCAATTTGCTGTACTCTCTCTGTAAAGAAGCAACATTATTTCTCTAACAATAATGCTCCTTATGATTTTAATACGTAGTTTTATGGAATCATAGGAGCGCACCTTAAGTATTTAATTTATTACATTGCAATTTGTGGAAAAAATGTCGTAATTAATATTGTTTTAGTGATCTCAGTACCATTTATTACTGCTCAATGATCACTGTCTTAGTTACTACCGCTCTAGTGATCACAGCTAAGTTACTATCACAATAGTTATCACCGTCTCAGTTACTACTTTCTCTAGTGACCATCCCACCATCTCAGTTACTACCGTCTCAGTTACTACCGATCCAGTGACCATCACTCAATTACTACCGCTCCAATGACCATTGCTCAGTTACTACCGCTCTAGTGACCACCGTTCAGTTACTAACATGATAGTTACCACCGTCCCAGTTACAACCTACTCCAATGACCACCATCTAGTTATTATTGTTCCAGTAACCATCGTCGCAGTTACTACCCTAATAGTGACGACATCCTCAGTTACTACCGCTCCAGTGACCACTATCGCAGATATCATCAATCATCGATTTGGGAACATTTTTTCTGATAGCCTACCGATCCAGCGACCAAAAATTTTATCAAGTGACCAACGTCCGTTCACACGTTCAGTTACCCGTTTGCCCGTCAAGTGATCAATGTTCGCCCGTCCAGTTACAGTTATCTAATTTGTCCAGTTACCAAAAAATCCATCAGTGACCTAAAATCCACCACCGACCCGCCGTCACGAGATATAGTTACACAACTTGTCAGTTATAGTTACTTGATCGCTAGTTATAATTACCTGACCCCAATCAGTTATAGTTACTCAACCCGACCAGTAACAGTTACTTGACATGCAGTTACAGTTTTCAGATCCACCAGTTACACTTATGCGACGGCCAATTAAAATTATGTTATTCATCAGTTACATTTATCCCACGAGCCAGTTATAGTTACTCAATTTGATCAATTAGATTTATCAAATCCAACCAATTACCATTACCGGGTACGGCCATTTAGAGTTATGTGTGCCGACCACCACCCCAGCCACCGTCAGCAATCACCGTCACCAGCGATCACCACCGTCGGCCACCACCGCCAACAACGTCACATCCCAGCCAAATGCCTCACCCAACCCTTGCTTCACCCATCTTCCTCCCGCTACGTCACCCCAGCCACCTGGCTCACATAGCCCCCCCATGCCTCACCCCAACCCCTCCCCTACCTCACCCAAGCCCCCTGTCCAACCTCCCCTCGACTTCCTCAACCCAGCCTAGCCCCTACCCAGCCACCACCCCAGCCTCACCGTTGTAATATCCGCACATTTGTTCCAACACCGGCCAACCATCGACCACCGCCCAACCCTAATCAACCCTTAGCAGTCGGAATGCGCAGATCTAGAATGTAACCGCCGCATCTAAGCCCTGTCCTCAGTTACTACCCTATTAGTGACGACATCCTCAGTTACTAGACGGCCGCCCTGAACGTAGCCCTAGCCTAGTCGGCCGCCGCGAACTAAACTGTGATCGAACACAAAAGAGATGAAACAGAAGATCGGCGAGGGATGGCGTCACGGTGGTGGCGGCGCGCAATGAAGACTGTCCCTCGGTGGTTCAGTGCGGCGGGAGAAGATTGCAGAGCAGGCGACATGGGCGCACTAGGAGGATGGAGAAGATAAGATGCGACACGCATTTGGAGATGATCGGTGGATGGTTTAAACAAATTAGACTAAGGGTATTTTAGAACGTCCCGTAATTTCTTGTCTCTTTTTTGTCCAAAAATAAAAGTAGACATACTTTTATCTTATGAGAAGATGGGAGTATTATTGCCGTCATTATTTCCTTCTACTTTCTTTTTCCATCTTTTTTTCGCCACTTGACCTTCAATCCTGTTAATGACATTTCATGAAAGGGTATCAGGTGTATCCCCCAATCTAGTAAATGGTCATAGTATTGCCACTTAAGCTGATGTTCTCACGTTTTAGAACACACTCTAAGAGACTTTCTTCCCATCAACTTTCATTTTTCATCTCCTTTCTCTTTTTTTTTGCCATTTGACCGTAAATCCCATTGGTGACATCTCATCAAAGTGTATCCATGTTATTTGATTTTTAACACAATAGCTTCATCCCATGAGCCGATGATTTCCATGCGTTTTAGAACACACTTCAAAAGATATCATCACTGGTTTCCATATCCTTTTTTATTTTTTGCTATTTGAGTGTACACTCATATGGTGACATCGCGTGATTAAAGTGTAGTGTGTATCCTATTTGATTTACAACCATAGCTTAGTCTCGTAAGCCAGTGCTTTTCGTACATTTAAGAACACTCTAAAAAAATTCATCACAACTATTTTGTTTTTTCATCTCTTTTTCTTTTCATTTGAAAGTATTTTTCGTTGATGACATATAATTAAAGTGTACCATGTTTGGAGTATATCCCACCCGTTGTTATAAAACCCTATAACAACAAGTCACGAGTCATTAACATATCAAACTACAGTGACCCGCAACTACAGTGACCTAACTGTAGTCCAGCCGCACATGTGACCTCACCATGCTACCCCAATCACCAATCACGGCAAGGGACTCTGGCGTCCTAGTGATCGGGCTGTCACGACACAACCACCACTAACCTTCAGCCCTCCCCGCCACATCCCCACCCTGATCCCCTGCCGCTGCCCCCTCCCTTGTCACTATCCCAACTCACCCTACCCGTACCTCCCTTGCACTATGCTACCACCCCAACCACGCCCCACCCTCGGCACTGTTGGGGGATTTAGTTGCACCACTGTCACCTCACCGAGTCCTAATTGTCGATGTCACCGAATCAAAATCATAAACGCCACAATCAATCGACACCCTAGCCACTCAAATCTAAAACAAAATCCCTGTAGCCGCTGAAGAAAGCTATTGTCGCCGCCACCAAAGAGATCTCTCACTGCCAACGTCAAAGAATTATGTCGTCTTCGTAGGAGCATAGCAAAAGGGTGTCGAAGAGATCTCTCGCTACCGCCCCACCCTGAATGCCCCTAATCATCGCTCTCATCACCCAACCCTACCCACCTCAAACAAGGCTAGCAATGACACTAAGTCTCCACTATCAAATCAATGGTTGATCTTCCATCAAACACCCTACCGTTGAACCCTAACTCTAAACCTCACTGAGAGTCCTGGCCTTCACCATTGCCGAATTTCACCAAGAGCTAAGGAGTCCCCGCCATCCTCATATATGAAAAGGTTCAGGGAGAAGAAGGTTAAGGATGTGCGACAGTGGCGACAACAGCTTAGGATGGAGGAAGCAGTGGCAGACCCACAAGGCGAAGGCTATAAGAGAAGGGAGATAAGCTTGATCGGCAAGAGGCTAGAGGAGAGCCAATAGAAAGGGGTGACAAAATTATGTATATTCCAATCATTTGAACTCTAAGTGGTCTTTTTGTGTAGATAAAGAAGTAGTCTTAGACTCTTAGTTTTGTCCAATCAAAACTCGGAACTTCGGAAGTAATATATTTGTCATTTTTTACATTATTAGACTTTTCTTTGTTTTTTTTTTTAAAATGTTCATTTTCTTAAGAGGTAGTTTATAAGTGTGTAGAATTTAAATTCAAGAGGGTTGGTTAGGGCTTAGAATTTAAGGTTTAAGGTCTATTATTACCAAGAAAGCTTGACCAAATCTATTTTTGAAAGAAAAAGAATATTATATTCTTTCTTTATTGAGTTGTCTCAAAAACAATTGAGCAAAACATCACTAACGTTTTTACTTTCTCAATTTCTCTTTTATCTATCATTTCGCTTTTTATGTACCTATAGTCCTATACTACTTTTTTCCTAGTGTCAAACTAATTTATTTTCTTTAAACTCAGGTCATACTCAAATGTATCTTCCATTATAGGCCAGGAGAAGTGTTATATTTGCTTTAAGCTTATTTGTAAAAATAATCACTAAGAATTGTTGGGGAACATGTGCTTAAGATCCACCAAAGTGGAAAACCTTTAACAGAAAGGTTTTAACAGCAAGGTTTCACATTTCGGGATACTCAAATTGGCCACTCATGTCCCTGTTGGGAGAGATGCCAAACTTCTACGAACATGATGCTCCCATGTTACGCTATGGGTTTCCTCAACTTCAACCCCAAAAAATTGTAACAGCTCCTACTCACCTTGATGGCTTGATTACAAACACAACCAAAGTACAACAACACTCAATGGCAACTTAACAATGTTAATCAAGGCAATAATACAAAACCGTAGTTTATTGAGAAAGCACAGTTTGTGCAAGGTTTTTGTACATATAGATGAGCTCTACCTTTGTTTTATAGAGCCAAAAAGTTCGGGGAATGAGTGCTTAGGAGAATCAGTAGTAGCAACTATCTCCACTACTTTGTAGTGAGATTCTGGATGCAGCAATGCCTCAACTGCAACTTCGGCGACCTGATCTCTTGAGATTGAACCTCCAAAGAGTGTATCCTGCCATTTATCCACAAATCACTTGAATCTCAAATGAAGTACCAAATACATATGATGATATGAATATACTTTGACCTGTTTGGCAAGGGAGCTTTTGGTTGAAATGCCTAAATTTTCTAAAATAGTACCACATTGTTGTTGATATGAGTCGATCTGATAAGAAGACTACCCTAAAATCTTGTGTTATATCCTATTTAGCCGATGGGGCCCACATCATGGCTACATAATAGATTGAATCCTATACCATATTAACATTTGGGAATGTCTGAGATCTTACTACATACGTGGTACTGTTTTATCCTTTCACATTTAACTGATGTAGAACACTCTTCAACAATATATATTTGCTCTTAATAAAATAATATCTAAAAAAAAGACTAGAAATTCCATTTACTTTTATCTCAACCAAAAAAATCAACTTTTGCACATTGTGTCTTGTTATCAACCAATTCATCGAGCTGTTAGACACAGTTACAAATCAAAGCTAAAAACAGTAAACCAACTCACAGATCTGATGAACAGAGATGGAAATAGACGTTTATTGATGATATAAGGGTAAATCGTAGGGTACAGGGACTTCTTAGGCAACAGGGACTCTCAAGGCAACAATACATCCAAAGATAACCGTCCCCTCTATTCTACTCTCTACCACTATATATACTAACTCTCTAATATTATTCTTATTCTCATTTATTAGTATTCTAAGTAGGTCCCTAACAATACTCCCCCTTTGAAAACCACCTTGCCCTCAAGGTGGGTTATAGAGGACAGTCTTGATGAACCGCTTCTTCCTCATCTTTGCGCCTCTTCCTTCCCAGTATCGTCCAAATTTCAGGATTCTGAACTTCATGATTTGGCCAGCCCCATGCGCATCCCCTACAAAGCCATCCTCATGGTCCAGGTCATCTATAATTGCAGGAAGAACCGATGATGCTTTTTGTTGAGAACCGTTTTGTATGCAATCTGAAATCACCTCCTCTGTAATATAGATTCTTCCTTCATTCCTTCTAGCCTCTATGTCTTTGGCATCCAAATATTTTTCAAGGATAAAACTGTTCCTCTTGTTTGCTTCAAACAATTCTGCTATGCATGTGAACAGTGTTCCAAACAGCCCCCGATAGAAAAATTCCTGAATTCTTCTTGCTTCCCTAACTGGATCTGCCTCCAACCTTCTTGATCCAACTAAGTAGGGTTCCATTTCTATATTTCCAACAACATCAACTAGCTTGTATTCTGTTACAATTCCACAACTAGAACAGTTCACTTCGGAATCATTGAAGCCAATGACCATTTTATAAGGTTGAATATTCATTTCAGCTTTCATTCCATTAACAATTTCAGGTTTTACAGATAACTCCCTGATTTGTTCCCTCTGGGAAATCTTAATTGCAGCAGCTTGAATAAGAGAGTCCAGATCTGCATTGATTCTACCTGACTGGTATTCATGAACCAACTCATCAACCCATCTAGTCCATAATTTGAGGAGTCCCAACTTGCATAAAGCATCAAACTGCAGCCCTTAGTTTCCATTCCAGATTTGACATTGGAGTGAGTGAAGATTGATCCTTCAAACCCACAAATCTGTTGATCATTCTTTCCCAATTGCCCTTCTAGGATACTCTGGACTATTATCCCCTTTTTACCCACAACAACTTGATCCTGTCTGTCAGAATCAGCAACATACTTGTCCATAGACACATCATTCACCAATTCTTTTTGGATATTTTTCATAGAAGTAACCCCTTCCCTTCTAAGACTATCAAACTTGTATAATGACTTCATTACTTCCAAAGTAATGTTTAATGACTGGTAGTACATCATTTCAGACTTTAAAACATTAAACCAGATCATCTCCTATACGAAACTAGAAGCCATTGAGGACCTTGCCACACAAGCTGCAGTATCACATACCTTAAGAATCTTGAAAATATGGGTTCCCGATTCTGACTTGATAAGCTCGTATCTGGAGGGTTTATTACATGTAAGAAAGCCAGTAATGGCTCCAGCTACAGGTCCAGAATTAACTGACAATTTCTCTTTACGTTCCTCGTCGCCATAGGTTTGCGAATCTTCCAAGGAAGGTTTCTTCTGAGTGACCAATTCCTGCTGCGACTCTGGTAACTCAGATAGTGATTGCCAACTGGGGTCTTCTGTTCGTGTAGAAACCATAGTTCCAGAAGAAATTTCTTGCGAACTTGGAGGAGCGACTTGATACGAAGAACGCGAACTGTGAGAATGGACTGACGAGGAGGAATATTCTCCTCTCAATCGCATCTTTCTTGGACATGAAATTTGCGAACCAAGGGAAGCCTTTCGCGACTGTGAACGAGAAGAAAGAGTGCGCGACTGTGAACAGTGATGAGAAGTTCGCGATTGCGAATTAACAGAAGCCGTCTGCGCCTGCGAACCAGAAGAATTAGTTCGCGACTCCTTCTGCGAACTAGTGAGTAATTTGGGATGCGTTGCGTCAGTTGTATGTAACCTGTTTCTCGATCGACTTTGACTTCGTGTTTCCAACCTGGCGACGGCCTCCTGCAACGTCTTTATCTTCCAGTTCGTTGATTTCTGACCATCTTCTCTTCCAGTTCGTTCATCCTCGATTCCATCTTCGTTCTTGTCAATAACATCCACAAAGATCTACGTGCTCTGATACCAATGTTAGACACAGTTACAAATCAAAGCTAAAAACAGTAAACCAACTCACAGATCTGATGAACAGAGATGGAAATAGACGTTTATTGATGATATAAGGGTAAATCGTAGGGTACAGGGACTTCTTAGGCAACAGGGACTCTCAAGGCAACAATACATCCAAAGATAACCGTCCCCTCTATTCTACTCTCTACCACTATTTATACTAACTCTCTAATATTATTCTTATTCTCATTTATTAGTATTCTAAGTAGGTCCCTAACACGAGCATAGTGAAATAAGTTCATGTTAGGTAGAAATAACTTGGCTGACAAGTGTTATGAGAAGTAAAAGTAATTGTTTATATAAGGATTACAAAAACATATTGTGATTACAAACCTTTCTCCTTGAAAAAGTAAAAAAAAAATGTATTCTGTCAAACAGGGACTTCAGCTGTAAACTACTATTACCTCAGGCTCCATGACTATATTTCCATTTGGAGGATTGTTTCTTAAACCACCAGGCCTTACAATGGTGTAATTGATTCCAGATCTCCTTATGTATTTCTCTGCCTGTAGCTTGGCAATCAACACCAAACCAAACACATTCAGTATCAGGTATGATGGGTTGAGCAACTGGCCCATTGCAGCTCCATTAACTAGGATAGAGCTGATCAGGATGAATCTATCCACACCGCGTTTTCTGCATGCATCCACAAGGTTTACTGTTCCAAAGTTATCCACCTGCACCAGATACGAAGAATAATACCACAAATAATGAAGTCGTTTGAAGAAGACTGATTGTTATGATCATTGGGGGATAAGTGCAGTGGTACCTTGAAGATTGATGGGTGTGGTCACTGCTGATAAGTGCAGTGTTTAATATTTTGCATTCTAATAGAAACAATCGTTAGGTCTTATCATCCAGTTTAAAAGGTCTCAGTCCGAGAAAAAACATCCCCAATCCTTGTAAATGGTATTACGCAGTACTTAAAAAGAATAGAGTACTGACATATACGGAGTACATGTATGTGTGTCCAGAGAAATGATCTCCTCAGGCAGTCCACACGGGGATCGCCGTCTGGCCAAGGCCATTTGGGACCCTTTCCGATGAAATTTTTTGATGAAATTTTATGGGCATGTTCTTCATCAAGTATAGAATATCTTCACAAAGTTTCATCTTAAAATTCAATCGGGAGTTTAGTTAAATAAATTATTGAAACATACTGCACTTTATGTATGACGTATGTATACATAAAAATCGAAGTATGTTTTAATAATTTATTTAACTGACTTCCCGGTTGAATTTTAATCTAAAATTTTGTGGGCATAAACTACATTTCATGAATAACATGCTCAAAACATTTCATCAAAAAATTCTACCAGCAAATGGCCTTGGCCAGACGCCAAGACGGGAGTTCCCGTCAGGCGATCCGCACTTACTCTGTACATCCATACTAACATATATATGTGTGCCGATACATTTCGCCGGTGGGGTCGCTACTCGCATTCCCGCTTCTGCCAGACTCTTCTGGAGCCGGGGGGTGGGGTGGTGGACGACTGGGTGATTTATCATGTGCAAGCCATGATTTGTGAGGTTTGTATTTTTGCTACAGCAAGATGACTGGAGAAGACAACCGGGAAAAGAGACGCCAATTAGGAATCAATTTTGTTCACCCCTCAAAGGAGGACGAAAATCACTTTTTAGAGGGCGTGATGTTCACTCTCCTTAGAGAGGTGAACAAAATCGCACTCCACGAATTGGACTTGTACTGTTCTGTGCTGATTGGACCAGATACCTGACACGCCCGTGCTAATTAATGTAGCGTGTTTGATTTTTTTTAAATACGGCGCCTCACCAAAATCTTTTGGGATTAAGGCTTGGATGTTGTTGTTGTATGGCGCCTCACCATGCGGTGCTCTTCCGAAAAGGAATGCATTTCGCGTAGGTGGGCTTGACCCGGTTCCTTGAATAACCCTTAATGGGCTTGGTTGCCTTATGGGTTTACTGGACTGTGTTTTCCCCTCCCGCCTAACACTAGATGAGGCCTTTGATAGGTAGCGGAACAATCACAGAAGATGATCGAAGTATATTTATGAAGATTTAATGAAGGATAACATAAAACAACGAAAGAGAAGGTTGAGACTCTTCTAGCAGTCTCACACTCCCAAATTCCCAGTCCAGATCCCAAAATTCTGCCCCCCTATCTACTCACCACTCACCCTTATTTATTATATTCCTAATGGGCCAGCCCACTTGTATTTAGTTATAGGGCCTAAAACCCTATTATTGACAAAATTAAAATTACTTAAGAAGACTCTTATTATTTGTAGTGTCCGGTCTCTAATATCACTCCCTCCTTGAACTTCCACCTTGTCCTCAAGGTGGGTGATAAGAGACTGTTCTGGCATTTGGTTTCAGCTGTGTATCAACTTCATCCAGTTCATATAGCTGATGTGAGGCGTGAAGCCAGAAAACCACCATGCCGCCTAAGAGACCGTCTGGGATTCAACTACGTGACCCGTATGCAATAGATCAGTAGTATTCCATAATAAAAGAATGTATGTTCGGACTGAATTAGCATAGTAGATCAATGTCCTGAACTCCTGAACATATATTCAAAGTTAATATAGTTTTGCTTGTGGAGTTGTTGATCATTATTAACCCAGCTTCACTTGTCGAAATAGAAATAAAAAACAATACCAGTTGTTGATTAAAATAAATGCTTCAGTTGAATGAAAAAAGCATCAGAAAGTATTAATCAGACTCTGACCTTCCATGGAGACAATAAATCCCAAGACGGCCTAAATCCTGTTGCACATATCACCGCATCTGAATCTTCACCTATGGCATCAGCTAATTTAGTACATTCCTCTGTTACATCAGCTTTTACCTGAAATTGAATCACTCAGAAAGCTGATGCTTTTGACGCATTCTTCAATTTGATCAATGAAAATTACATCAAAACCAGAACATTCCAAGTATCAAATTATCAGCACTTTCAGTACATAGGTAAATTTGGTTGAAGTTGATGAATGAGCTCAATTTGCTGGACGGATGAAATAAAAGAAGAGGACCAATCCATTAGTATAATGATTTCAGTCCGGGCCAAACCCATAATAACTCCAATCAACATTAAATATACAGCAAGCAGCAGAATGTTGGAAGGAAAGTTAAAGAAACAAAATGAAACTCACAAATTGAAGATCAGGGTTGCTGCTTGGTAAGCTTGTTTTAGCCTTTTCTATGTCTCGAACGCCTGCCTTAACGGCAAACCCCTTCCTCAAAAGCTGTTCAACTATCCTCCTTCCTGTGCTCCCGCTCGCCCCTGCAACAAATACTTTCTTCTTTTGTCTGCTACCCACTTCTTCTTCCACCTTAATTTCGACTCCATCCATCTGTAATCAAGAAATTATATATGTTTATACACATACACACACATATACACACACAATTAAAGAGCTTGGCGGTCAGTTGAATTGCCCGTGGGAAAAGAAAAAAAAAATTGTAACAATAAAAAAAGATTGAGAAAAGAGAGTACATTTGATGCTTTGAGAAGAAAGGAGCAACGTTTAGAGTGAAGGAATGAGGGAGAGAGTGAATTGGCAGCGAAGGGGAAGGATGGGAAGAGAGCAGCGGTTGTGAAGAGACCAGGAGCTGCCATTCGCTTCCAATAACAATCATCATTATCTAATTCACAGGTTTTTGTTAATGAAATTAGTTGATTATTATTACCCGGTCAGAAAATTATTTAATTTTTTCTTTTACAAAATTTCCTGATTTATTATAATATGTGTTCTATATTAATGATCAACATTTTTAAATTGGAATGTGATTTAAACATATCACCCGTCTTCCGGGGGTCATAGCCACCAGGTACTTGACTTAAAAAACTGTTCTATTAACTTTCAAAAACAAACGCTTTTATAAATTGTGACTTTTAAAATATCTTTTTAAATAAATATAAAATTGAGAAAATAAGATGTGAATCAAAAGAGAATTCTTATTCTATCTTTAAATGAGATTCATTAGAATTATTCCATAAAAAGTAGTCAAAGTTTCTATTTTTATAAAGAAAAGGAAAAATTGACAAAAATAATCTCACCTTTCGTTGGTCTTTTCATAATAATCTCACATTTAGGTAATCCCAGAATAATCTCACCTTTTCACTTCATCTTCTTTCATTGGACCTTGACCATGTTTTTTACTGTTTTTTTTTAAATCATATAAATAATCTCACCTTTTACTTTTCTATTATATCTTTATAAATGTGAGATTATTTATATAAGATTTTCAAATAAAGGTAAAAAACTTGGTCAGAGTCCAATGAAAGAAGATGGGGTGCAAAGGTGGGATTATTTTGGGATTATGTAAAGGTAGGATTATTATGAGAAGACCAGTGAAATGTGGGATTATTCTTGTCAATTTTTCCTAAAGAAAACGAATTTTATAAAAAGAAGTGAAATCAAAATACAATTACTAATTAGATAACCAAGTGAAATAAAATGAAAGAAAGCAGAAGATAATGGAACTAAAGCAAAATGACAATTAAAGGGAACATATGAGGGGAGAATTATGTTATATTCCATTAAAAACTTATAGTCATGTCATTACATTCTTTAACAAACTTTGCACATAATACCAGAGAAGTTAACAGAATTTGTAAAAATAACAATGTGAAAAAATAAAAGGATTAAGGATGTTTTTACTTGGACTGTAATTTGTTGGTGTGGTCTGGTTTGTTTAAGTCTGGTCTGAACTGGTCTGGTAAACGTCTGGTCCCTGTGTATTTTATAATTACGGAAGTCAAGTCTTATCTGGTCTGTCCGGTGTAATCTGTTTAAGTCTGGTCTGGGACTGAAAACAGTCCAAGTAAAAACATCCTAAAACTATAGAGGAAGTGGTCCAATTGATGGTGGATTCACTCTCCCTTGTAGTAGGTCTATCTTGGATACAAAACTTCACGGGCAGTTTCAGTCTTGTTTACCCTACTCCCAGCGACCCCTAACTCCCCGGGGTAAAAAAAAAAAGAAGAATAAAGCCATAACATAGTCTCCCCTTTAATAGACGCGTCCTTAAGTCTAAGAATTAAAACTAATGAACTCGGACTCAAAATGTGAAGTATCAACCCATGTAGCTTCATGAATTGGCTTGTTAACTCATTGCATCAAGTATTGGTCCTTGGACACACCTAGAGATTGGATGGTGCGAGAGTATATTATAGCAACTGTTGTTGAAACTATTTGAATGGTCTCATCGGTCTAATTTGGTACCATAGCCAGCTGAGGTAAATCTCTCTTGAACCCCTTAAGTTGTGAGACATTGAAGGTATCATGTATTTTAGTTTGTTGCGGCAATTGGCACTTAGCCTGGAAACAAGTAGCAAAAATCATCTCCAGCCTGACCGGTCAGAGAGACGACGACCAGCCAGCCTTTCGTCCGCGCTCGCTAGCTCATCCCGGTTGCACCGCCTCCATCGATCTACGCTGCCAGGAAGTTGCTAGATGAAGGAAGCCGCCGTTGCTAGGGTTTTTCTTTTAGACGTTACTTCGTGCTTCTAAATAAAATGGATTAATATTAATTCACCAATTGCATATATCCAAAAGAGTCCTTACGGATAAATGTAAACTGTTAGCACTCCCATGATCGGTCGAAATATGGATGCTAGAAAATATATCCATTACTGAAAAGTTATTGGGAAAAGAAATTCCCTATGTAAGTCCAATATGTGCATGTTTGTACTTTGACAAACACATTCGACCAAATATTACATTTTCAATAACGTGTTAGCTAAAAATAGCTCAGGACCAACACATCGTATATCGTCATTGGAATGGTATCAAGAATGTACTTTGATACCTATATGAAACCATTGGTGTAATCTTTATTCATCCGTTATAAATTGAATTAAATGATTGATGATAACAATATTCCTAAAGGAATTGAAAATATCAAAAGTATTACTCTAACACAAAGTAATGTGATTTGAGTTTTACCGATGATGGGTATCCCCTTAACTCATTGATATTTTCTTAAATGAGTATATATTCATCATCAAAGTAAATGATGTTATGTATAAAATACCTTGATAAAAGTATATATCAAGTAAATGTTGGATTCTTATTGATATGTTTCACTCAGGAGGGAGTCCTTACATACTTGTTTATCATCACATATATTGATGTGTTGTACTCATTTTCCCTTTTGACCAAGGTTTATTTTTCCTCTTGGGTTTTGTTACTTGGAAAGGTCTTTTGAGGCAACGTACGTAATATGCTATCATCCCGCATTTTAATTTTGCAAAGGTAAACTCATGTTGAAGGAAGAACATAATTAATATACGCGGTCAAAAGAAAATAATTAGTAAACTCATGGTAAACGCAGTCAAAAGTAATCGACGCGTGCTTATTAGTGCATCATATTTTTTTCCTTTGACCGATGTTTATTTTTCCCATTGTGTTTTTTGTGCATTGGCAAGGTTTTAGCAAGTTAAAAAAAATTAGTCTTATCGCCTTATACTTGGCACACAAGGGAGAATGAAAGGAAATATATTCCTCTATTGTGTGCATTCGATATGGTGATTGACGTAAAAGTATTGAAATGCATAGACTTTCCAAATATCCTTGATTAATGTAAATATTAAGGATAGATGTAGACATGAGGGGGGAGTCTCCCCACATACACTACGTTACGATCTTTTCCTTTAACCAAGTTTTATTTTTCCCACCGGATTTTGTTACTTGGCAAGGTTTTTAATGAGGTAACAACACATATAAACTTTAATGATCAAAGCAAGGATCAAATAAAGATGGACTTAATGGAAGAAGCCTATCTTGATGTTATAATATTTTTCTCCAATCAAGGTTACTTTTTCCCACAGGGTTTTGTTACTTGACAGAGTTTTGAAGAGGCAACAAGACGCATACAACATTCTATCTATAACTCAGCACAAAGGGGAGTGTTGAAGGAAATTCTATGTTGTGTGCTACCGTTTAGATAGAATATGTATTTAGGTCTTTCTGTGTATAGTATGTATTATGGGCCTATTGGCCCGTACTTGTAAACCCTACTCTCTCCCTATTTATAGAGCCATTCGGTAATGAAACTTTACGAACAATTCTTCCTACAACAGTAAACTTATTTTACAAAAAGCAAGTAATTTTATTGTAAGACACCATTGAACAACATTCAGCTTTTATACTAAATCTCTACGGGCAAAAGAAATAATAAATATATTAATCTTTATCTTTGCCTTGAGATGAGGAAACATGTTGTGTGAAGATTTGGTTTGTGTCACAAAAAGACAAAGAACAAACCATGCTACTTTGGTCAAGTGGAACAATGCAAGTAGATCAAGCAACGGTCAAGATTGAGCTCCTCAGCCAATGGTGGAGATTCAACAACCAGTCTATAAATACAGGAGTGCTGGAAAAAACAAGTGGAAGAGCCAAGTGGAATAGAAGGGAATCAAGATTCTCACGAAGACGGTCGGCCAACTGATTCCCCTTCACCACTTTGGTTCTCAACCCACTCATTTAATGCTCTTAGACTAGCTCAAATTCATACAAACCTATAGAGCTTAGATTAGTTGGTAATTTAGTTTTCACCCATGTAAACTAGACTAGTGTCTAGACATTCTGGAAGACTTTGTGTTCAAATCCAGAAGGTGAGAAGGGCAAGCACATGAGTAGCTTCTGGAAAGTCAATGTCATTAATGAAAAACCTTGGAGGACTGGGTAGCTTGGAATGGTGTTCAAATTCCTTGTGAAAAACCTCACAATCTATGTCTGGGCTAAAGATAGATTGAGCACTAAATGTAATGGGATATTCATTTAGTGGAAATCCATCTGAAATTGGTTGGGACTGGATGTAGGAGGATTACACTATTTACACCACCTCTGAACAAGGATATATCTTGTGTCACCTTTTATGTTCAGCTCCCAATACACACTACAGTTCTCACTCACCTTCACAACTACACAGCAAAACAGCTTGCTCACAAAAACTGTTCAATGAACTCTCCCGTTCATTGTGAATCAACTCCTTGTTTCTATTCATCAAAGTGATCTATTTCTATAGGTCTAAATCATTCATGCTTATGTGTTAAGACATGTTCTAAAAGTCTGCCAATGTGTTAGAATATAGTTCATTGCTATTGATGGATAGTGTACTTGGGGGTAGCCTATCTGAGGGATACCCCAAGGGGTATCTAGAGAGAAGTCAAAGCAATAAGTAAGAGAGAGAGTGAGAATGTAATAAATGAAGTCGTTTTAGGTTACATGGGGGAAAGAGGTGATATTTATAGCAGCCATAAATGCTAGGCGCATTAAATGCGAGTACACGTGTCAAGTAACCAATGGTGGAGGGTCACTCTAGTCACGGTGGCGCCGACAATGCATGTGGTGCCGCATTAAATGCGGTGCTTGGACGTGACATCGCATTTAATGTGGTGGTTGTCTGTCTTCAGATGGAATCTTCGCATAATGTAGACCCTTCGGTGTGTGTCTCGAAGGCACCCTCAGGCCGAAGGCTACTGTTTTAGCCAGAATCTCCCAGCAGCTTCGTGGGTCCAAGAGCAGTTGTCTCCTGGAGTTTCATGCCCTCGGCCATTGTGCCGAAGGTACCTATATGCGTATCCTGGGCTTGCGGGAGCGTGGGCCGCTGTATCCGAGCTCCGTGTGCTTAACGAGCCC